GTGTATGTGTGTGTGTGTGTGTGTGTGTGTGTGTGTGTGTGTTTGTGTTGAACACTGACTGAAGGCTATTGCTGGCCTTTCGGTGCCAGATTTCAGAAACATGTAAGCTCTCGTAAGCAAAGACGATCTTTTGCTTTGGCCAGCCGTGAGCACCTGACACTCTGGAGCACCACATTCTTTTTTTGCATGAAACTTTCCATTTTTTAAAATAAAATGTATATGTGTGACGGTGGATATTTCGGCCCCCGGCAGCCCAGTTCAGAAACACATGAACATCTTGACTTCTTCACTGAATTTTTCATTCAGAGTCCTCAAGTTTAACAGGTTAGCTGAGGAAGACCACTACACTTAAAGGGATAGTTCACCTAAAAATAAGAACTCACCCTCAAGTTGTTTCAAACCTGTATGAGTTTCTTATTTCGGCTGAACACAAAAGAAGATATTTTGAAGAATGTTGGTATACAAACTGTTGGACGTACCTTTTTTGGCTACCGTCAACTGCCTGCTTTCAGTCTTTCTTCCTAGTTTAATTAGTAACGTCTAATATCATAAACTCATTAAGAAGCAGCAATAATCCAGGTGAATTGAGGTCTGCTGCAGAATTGGTATATTTTCCATACATTTAATAAAAATTCATAGATCGATAAATATGGACTTCCTCTAACACTCTCAAATGTTATTATTATTGTTAAAACTAAAACCATAAAAAAACATTAAAATAAGATAAAATAATAAACTGAATAAAAAAATCTCGAAATAAATATTTTATTTCATCTACAGGCAACATTTCTCATTTTTGTTTAATTTAATTTGAAGTACTAAAAAAACTAAAATAATCTAAACTAATCAATAAAAATGAATAAATACTATGAAGACATATGCAAACAAAAATATATAAACAACTAAAAATGTCAAAATTACTAAAACTGTAAAGTGAAAACAAAATATAAAAATAGAATCTAATCAAAAATATTAACAAACTAAAAAAAAGTAAAATAACACTAATTCATGTGTTTTCATATCAAGAAGCATCACGTCAAGTTTGACACCAAATGCCGTTAGTTCTCCCACATCTGCCACAAATTGTGATCGTTCTTTCGTTTGTTTTTGACCATAGAAGACAGAAAGTCTTAAAGGTTCAGAATGACAAAAATCCGTAAAATTTACGGTAAAAAACGGCAGCTGTGGTTGCCGGAATTTTACCGTAAAAATACGGTAGCAACGTTTTAGGTTTTACGGTTTTAACTTAAATTTACAGTTAAATACCGTATTTTCATTAACTGATATAATGTTAATATACCAACCTACTGAAGTACTGAAATCTGTTTTGTAGCTTTGTAATACACTGATAAGCAGGCGGTGATGAGAAAGTCACATGATGAACCAAAGCCCATCACAAGCAGCTTTTAAATAATAACATATATAGAAGGAGCACAGTGTCATTCACACAGACACTAAACACCATCACGGTAACACACATGAGACTGAAATAATGCAATAAACATTCATTTAACAACATTAGGTGTACCACACAACCCTAATACACAAAACTGATAAGAAGAAACATAGTTATTTTAACAAAAAAACATTTGAAATGTAATGCAGGGAATTCTGGGAATGTCAATTTACGGTTATTCACTGTAAATTATACAGTCTTTTTCACTTCTAAAAACGGTATACTACTGTAAAATTAATGTCCAATACAGTTTTTCACCGTATATAGTAGGGGAATTTACCGTTAACCATTTAACAGGTTTTTACTGTATTTTTTACAGTCTTTTACCGTTAAATTCACGGTCATTTTTTATACTTGTGAGTGCAGGATAACGGTTAAAAAATATGTATTTCTGACTCTATTGGCGTGCTATTTTCGTCTGTGGACGCTGGCAGTTTTTAGGTGTTAAAGCAAAGGTCCATCCGCCTGTCACATCTGCACTCATCGGACGTCCTCTTTCCCAGAAGCGTGACTCATTACGGCTTCTCTGCAGATTAATTGATTTTCACAGCTGTCTTTTACATGAGTGTTCGTCCCGCCCACAGACTGACGCAGAGAACCCAAGGAATTCCTCCCAGCTGATGTGTTCGGTGTGTTACTCATCCAGAACGAGTCTCTCTATCTATCCTGTAGCTGCTCTAATTCCTCATCATCGCACTAATTAAATCAACTACAATTCTCACATCCTCTCGCTAATGAACCATTAATGCACTCAACACAGATGTCTAGAACAAATAGAGCGCTGCAATGATCACATGTATTTTTGTAGGCCGACTCAGAAGTAAAAAGCTAAACGAGGTCACATGACTTCAACATCACCACCATTAAGCTTCGTCAACTCTTTGTCTGAGTTGGAATAGCTTGCTAGAGTGATTATAAACACAATGAGGCTGTGAAAGTGACTATTGAGTAAATCAGTTTCCAAGCTAACAGAACGTTCTCCCAGTAACGTTAATAGAATGTTTGTTCAAAGTTATCTGGTCTTTAGTAATGTCCTCAAAACATCAGGAACGTTTTTCTGAAACATTTTAGCTCATGTAACATTTTTTTAAATGTAACTGCTTGTTTCGGAATGTTCAGAGTAACAGTTAAAAGTAACATTCCAGTAATGTTTGAAAAGAATGGAATGTTCGCTTAACATGCGTAATACATCTTTAAATCTTCAGAGAACATTCAGAAATAACGTTTTTATAACTAAATTCAAACGTTAGAAAAAGGTTCTTCGGACATATTTTTATTAGATGGGTGAATAGTCTCATTTAGCCACTTGCTAGCAACCACCTTTTTCAAGACAAGCAAAAATCTTGAAAAAATACAGTGGGGTATTACCGATGAATTGTATGTTGTAGAATGAAAAGTGAAAATATCTTGAGCTTATTTCAGGAATTTAGCTAAAAATCCATTCCACAAAAAAAACTGGAGGGAACTGGAAGTGCTCAAATTCAACTCGTTTCCAAGTTTTCATACAAATATACGTAATCTCTGCAGCACTTTATTATTATGCGGCTCTCTGGAATGCTGCATTGTGATTGGTCAGTCATGGCATTCTGCAATCAAACATTTTTGTATAAAATAAACACATTTCTCAATGAAATAGGATACAACAAGAAATGCAGAGCAGATTTGACCCAAGAGGGTAATGGAGACAGGATGATGAAAATCGTCTCTGTACGACTGGTTGGAAAAAAGCGTGATTTAAATTTTATGTTGACTTCAAATGACTTCACGCATTTATAAGAAAATACTAATTATGTTTGTTTGCTTAACATGGTTTAAAAAAAAGTCACAGTGCATCATGTGTTTATGAATGCTTTCTGCGCACATATCCTTACATCATTTAGCCGAAGGCAGTGAGGAGATTTTCTCTTTGAAGATCTGTGGAATAATTTAAAGCTCAAACTGTTTACAAAATAACAAAATTACTGTCTGTTATGGTGAGCGTCACTCATTGGCTGACTCTCGGCTCACTTGTGTTTAAAAGTCAACATTAAATCAAAACCGACTCGATTTACTTTCTTGATACATTTCCTAG